TAAAACCGACTGTATGATGAAAGAAAGGAAACTAAAGCAATTCTTTCAATTAATTTGTACAAAGGCGTACTGTTTGTTGCCCAGGATGTTGTTTTAATTATCCCCATGTTGGTAAGATACTCAAACATATTTTTTTTTTTTAGTTTCGACATTCGCACTTAGCTGCCAAATTAATATTTCTACATACGATAAACCAATTCAGGATGCTTTACAAGATCGATGTATTTTAAGGGCGGTAGTGAAAGACCTCATATTTTACTCAGCACAGTGTAGAGCAAATTGTAGCTGCAGTGGTCTTTTTAGAGTTGGGATGGTGACTTAGGTTAAGTTCTCTGTATGTTGCACATGACGCTGTGTTAGTGCTTCGATGTTGGCAGTTGTGATGAATACTGACATGAATGCGAGTGGTTTTCTCTTTACTCGTACGAGGCAACAAATTTGTCAAAGTGTCCGGGAAAGGGGGTTATTTTCATTAGTTTACAATTAGCCCGAACTTATCCTTTCCAGCTGCAAATGAAATGTAACGATATAAAGTGGTACACTTCATGACTTGAAACGCAGGATCAAATACTTGTCACGGTAATAAAAAACGCAATCCTGAGGTGGGGAGGATCCTGTTCGGATTAATTATAGTTGTTTTGGATAATCATGATTATAAGTAAACCTAGTTGGTTTGGACAGTCTTCTATGGACTTCTTAGGTTTTGCTTCAATTCTCTAACAACTTCTCTAGTCATGCCAACGTGGTACGGAGATTTCATAAAATTGTGGACTACAACCAAAATTTTCTGACTCCAGACGTGTGGGCGAGAGGCACCTCCATCCGAATTTCCGACGATGAATTGAAACCGGGAGGCTGAGTTTCAATTCCATTTTGTTCGTTATATTCACTTATACGCAAGTTACGAATCCACCTTTTGTACCCCCAGCTATGGGTTAATTACTAAGCCATTTGTCAGTAAAACATTCTTATTCCCAGAAGTTCTTACAATCTAAAAATATTTTAGGGCGTTAAGTAACCTGTAAAAGGTTGATAAACCGAAAAAACACAAAACGATCAAGAAATGAAAATACGGAAACCAACGCTGCAACAGATTACTCGGCAATGAGATCCGCCTACAACGATATATATATATATATATATATATATATATATATATAATATATATATATATATATATATATAAACTAGGTTCATAGTTTAGATTTGCTCTACTTAGTGTATTGAACAATTTACTTAGTTACTTTTGCTTTACTCGTGTTGGAGGGTTTTTTCTTTGGACTCTGAGCTTGGATTCAGTACAATTGTTTTCGCCTCAATTAAATGTGCTTAGTCCTTTCTTTTTTTATCCCTTGGGCATTTGTTTGTTCAATTACAAGCCAAAACACCTGAGGTTTTTCAGACGAGTATAATTACTTATAATTTTATTATATATATATATATATATATATATATATATAGATAGATAGATAGATAGATAGATGGGATGCAATGTAAAAATTGGCGTCTAAATGACGCAAAGATGAATATAACACTGATACCTCATTTTAATAGTTACATTTACCAAAATAACACAAAAAATATCTTGAAATACTAAAAAAATTAATAAAATCTCCATTGGCTTCAACTACGGCCTTAAGACAACTTCGGAATCACCTGCAACTCTTCTGGACGGCCTTCTGGTTTAAGTTGGTGAATGCTGCCATAATCCTTGCCTTTAGTTCATATTAATGTCATAGTAAAGCTACTCGTGGAGGCGAATATTAACGTCATAATAAAGCTATTCGTGGAGGCGAATATTAATGTCATAATAAAGCTATTCGTGGAGGCGAATATTAATGTCATAATAAAGCTATTCGTGGAGGCGAATATTAATGTCATAATAAAGCTATTCGTGGAGGCGAATATTAATGTCATAATAAAGTTATAAAGAAATTTTCTCCTTCCTTTGCTCTAGATCTCTCTAAACTATACAACTATTATCTCGCTGCTTCCTGCTTTCAAGCCTTTTAGAAGTCCTCCTTTGTCCTCCTTATTTTTAAGAAATCTGTAGAACCTTCTGACCTCTCTAACTACCGCCCTGTCAGTCTCTTACCGCTTTTAGGCAAAGTCTTTGAGTCTTTAATCAATGTCGAATTGGTTAAGCATCTTACCCTTTTACGATTTACCTCCTGACAGACAACATCGATTCCCTTTTGCCCGGTCTACCGCTGATGTGCTTTCATCCATAACTGAATATGTATATCAAACTCTTGATAACAAAGGCGAAACTCGATCTTTGGTATTAGATATCTTGAATGCGTTTGACAGAGTTCGATATGATGGTCTTCTATGTAAGAGTCAGCGTTACGTTATTGCAGAAGGATGATTTGGTTTAATCCAATCATTCCTATCAAATCGGGAAATGAAGATCGTCCTGAATGGGTTCTCTTACAACTAACTACTTTCATATGAATGCAGGAGTTCCGAAAAGCTCTATTTTAGGTCCTACACTGTTTCTGATCTTCATCAATGATCCCCCTGTTGCACTCTGTTCTAAAGTTGATATCTATGGAGACGACACCGCCATTTACTCCTGTTTCAATAGTAAATCCTGCAGAGCTGCCAAAATTAATATGGTCGCTGCTCTTGAAAAGGACTTCCAATCAGTGCATAACATGGACAGCTTGTGAATTTTAATGTCTCAAAAACTAAACTGCTCTTATTTAACCCCCGATGAATAACTTTTCTGTCCATTATTTTCAAGTGTTTGGTATAAAAATCAGTTATAGTCGTGAGCATATCAACGGTAGACCAGGCAAAGCGGAAACCATATTGTAAATCTGATAGCACTGACAAAGTCAACCTGGCCGATGCTCTTGAAAGGAACTTCCAATCAGTGGTTAACTAGGGTAGCAAATGGCTTGTAAATTTTAATGCCTCCTAAATTAACTGTTCTCATTTAACCGCCACAGAGAATCTTCCCTGCCATCCGCATCAGCATGGTTGATACTCGACTCCGTGAGAATGTCTCACTACGCACTTATTGGCCACACGTTTTCTTGATGTGGAACAACTATATTGAATCAATAGATGCACCTTCTGCAAGCAAAGTGGGTTTTTTTCCCCGTCAGGGTTCATCTTGCAGATATACAAATTTAGCGTTCGTCCCTGCATTGAATATTGCGGCCACGCCTGGTCTAGTGCCACCGTAGTCCATCTTGAGGTTCTCGACAAAATCCAAAGAAGGATTTGCAGTGTAGTCGTTCCTGACTTGACATCTCGACTTCAGTCACTTTCTCACCGAAGTGATGCAGCTTCCCTCTGTTTTTTCTATAAATATTTTCATGGCAACTGATCTGATGAGCTATCTTCCCTGATGCCCCATCTACGTGAATTTAAGCTTGCTACTTGATAGGCGTCTAGCTCCCACCTCTTTACTGTTGAAATAGTTAAATGCAACCACCGCTTCTACTCTTGCAGTTTCTTTTCCCGCGCTTCCCGACAGTGGAACTCTCTTTCTCTTACTTGCTTCCCTGATAACGACAATCTTCAAAAATCTAAATGTAACGTCAATCGCAATCTTCTGATGCATTGATCATCGGTCTTCTTTTACCCTTTCCTCAATCTACGCCTATACGCAGTTTTTTCCCTAACTTTCACTCTCTGCAACACGTGCGGAATTGTGGCTCTCCCGAATTGCTTGGGGTTTGGTTTGATATGTTTTGTCTTACGGCATATCAACCTCAATGGGTTATTTCATACCGACAGGATTTTTATTGCTGGCAATATTTTTTCAAAAAATGTATTGCTGATAATATTTTTTTTCTTCCAAAATATATTACTGGTAATATTTTTTTCTTCAAAAATATATTACTGGTAATAATGTATTGTTGGTAATAACTATTTACAAATAATGTATTGCTGGTAGTATTTTTGCTTGCAAAATGTATTGCTGGTAATAATTTTCCATCAAAAATTATTGCTAGTGTTAAAACCTATATTTACACTTTTATAGTGTTCCGCCTCCAGTCCGAGGATTAACTACTTACTCATAGAACAGGTGCGACCATCCCGGGTCTGGGTGACCCTGAGAACATCGGCAATTACGAGGTGGTTCCACGCTCCTCAAATCCTCCTGATCATAGGCCTTGCTGTTGGATGTAGTTTATCGCCATACTGAGGATGCGGATGTAGTTTATTGTCATACCCAGGACGAGATCTGGGTTTAGGGGTTAACTATTTGCCCTTAGCTGGGACCCTAACAGTTGCTACCATCCCGGGTGAGAGTTGACATGGGAACACCAGCAATTAAGAGGTGGTTCCACATTCCCCAAAACCTCATGATCAGAGGCCTTGCTGTTAGATTTAGTTTATCGTCATACCGAGGCCACGGATGTAGTTTATCGTCATACCCTGGACGCGGATGTAGTTTATCGTCATACCCAGGACGCGGATGTAGTTTACCGTCATACCGAGGACGCGGATGTAGTTTATCGTTATACCCAGGACACGGATGTAGTTTATCGTCATACCCAGAACGCGGATGTAGTTTACCGTCATACCGAGGCCGCGGATATAGTTTATCGTCTTATCCAGGACGTGGATATAGTTTATACTCATAACGAGAATGTGGATGTAGTTTATCGCCATATCCACGACGAGCTTGATGGTGAAATGCCTAAAAATATGATTATTTATAAAAATGCATTAAAATTCACTAGAAAGAGATTATCAGTGTTCGGGGAATAATTCAAGTCGGAATAATAAATGTCTTATATATACAATGTAAATGCATCGTTAATAACTTGTCTATATTGTAATTAATTTAGGGTTGAAATGGATTGCAAGGAAAAATATGATGAACTAAGAATTAGGGAAAGTTTATCTTAGCTTCCAACTGGTTAGGCATGGGTCTTTTAACTCCAACCTGTAAAAAGATATATATATATATATATATATATATATATATATATATATATATATATATATATATTCACTCTCTTCCTGTTTATCTATCTATGTTCATATATCAGTGTGTTCATATCTATCTATCTATCTATCTATCTATCTATCTATTCTATCTATCTATTCTCTATCTATCTATCTATCTATCTATTAACTCTCTACCTATCTACCTATCCATCTATGTTCATATCTCAGTGTGTTCATATCTATCTATCTATCTATCTATCTATCTATCTATCTATCTATCTATCTATCTATCTATCTATCTATGTTCATATCTCAGTGTGTTTATATCTATCTATCTATCTATCTATCTATCTATATTCACTCTCTTTCTATTTATCTATCTCTCTATAAATCTACCTATGTTCATATCTCAGTGTATTCATATCTATCTATCTATCTATCTCAATATGTTCCTATCTATCTATCTATCTATCTATCTATCTATCTATCTATCTATCTATTCACTCTCTTCCTATCTATCTATCTATCTATCTATCTATCTATCTATCTATCTATATATGTTCCTATCTATCTATCTATCTATCTATCTATCTATCTATCTATCTATATGTTCCTATCTATCTATCTATTCACTCTCTACCGGTATGAAGATAAACTATATCCGGCAGCAAGGCGAGATTCAAGGTTTTGAGAAGCGTGGAGCAACCTTTTAATGGATGTTGTTCCCAGGTACGCCATGACTCGGGGTAATATCACTTGTTAGGGTCACAGCTGTGGGCAAATAGTGAACACCTCCCCAAGAATCAAAACACTATAGAAATCAGAAACTATAAAGATATATTTTTATAGGAAAAATACCAGAAATACATTTTTTTTGTGAAATTATCAGCAATACCTTTTCATAAAAAATAATGACCAACAATAATTTTTTTTAGTAAAATTACAAACAATAGATTTAATACCAATGACTAATATTACATTTTATAGTAAAATTACTAGTACATTTTATAAGGAAATTGACGATATGACATACACCCTTGTGCAAATTAGTTGAAACAAAACTAATAACTCTGTTATTAATTACTTTTTCGTATTTTTCCAATGAAACATGACCCATTGCACATGTTAGTACTTCGTATGTCCACTATGTCGTTCCTTGCAGGTTAACCCCAGATTCTCGACTGGATTTAAACAAGGGGAGTTTCTGGGTCAGTCTCTAGTACTTTAATTCGCTCACTGGTAAGGCTTGCCATTGTGTTCGTGTAGCGTTACAATTTTAGTACGCTTCCTTGGAGTAACGTCCATCGCAGACACTGGCCGTAGGACAACTAATCGACAGTCAAGACAATAATATCTGGCCGTGAAAAAATATGATGCATTCACGGATGACGCAATGTTTTTCAAGGCCAAATAAATTTTATGATACACATCAAAAATAGATTAATATTAATGCACACAACTGCAAATGATCTTATCTAAGTAAAAAATAGAAATAGATTACACCCTGACAGTCCACTGGGTCTAAATCTGACCGTATAGTGAATGAAAGGAAACTAAATCGCTTGTTTCAATTAATTTGCGCAAGGGTGTACATTGTGAGAAAATTAAAATTTGTGTTTTTAAATTGCTATGTTTAATCCTATTTACATTATTCGGACTATTTTTCTCATCTTTGTTGCCATATTTATCACAACGTTTAGGCCGTTGTACGCTCTGGCCTTCTTCAGGTGGTTAGAGAACTTGGAGAGGTGAATTTACAGGAGATAACTGATAACTGACATCCATTAGACATGGCACGTGGAACTAGAACAGTCTACTCCAGTGAGCGAAATAAAGGGTTCAGTTCGACATTCCAACCATCTGAGGAAGGCCGGAGCGTACAACGGCCTAAACGTTGTGATAAATATGGCAACAAAGATGAGGACAATAGTCCGAATAATGTAAATAGTGTACATAATACCTCATCTCAGAAATACAGACAGATACTGAAAGGCCAAAACGTTGTAATATGGCGACAAAGATGAAGTCAATAGTCCGAATAATGTAAATAGTGTACACAATACCTCATCTCAGAAATATAGACAGATACTTAATCTTATTTCTTGCAAGAAAAAAACATGTTTTCCTTCGACGATTGATTTTGTAAAGAAAAAATGCAGGTAATTATAATTTAATCGTGAAATAATGCCATTCTCTTGAATTTATTAAAAAGTTTGAATTTTAGTATTTAGATTTCGGTATTAAATAACCCATAGAGGTGTTGATATGCTACTAAACAAAATCAACCAACCAACCAAACAACCAACCAACCGTAAAAAAAAAAAAATTCTAGATTCTGTGAACTTATACTTCAGAGGTTAACGCGGGATATATTTTAATCGACAAGGTTTAAAACGAAAGATGAATACTAACATACACAGACACACACACACACACAGACACATAAACACAAAACCACAAACATCATGTGTCTGGGTAGGCACTTTCCGTTGTCACATTGTACAAAATGAAATATTGGGAATATTTGTAGATTTTTAGCAGTTATTCCCGCTGAATTCAAAACCAATTGATATTCCTGGGTATGACGATAAACTACATCCGGCAGCAAGGCTTTTGATCGGGGGGTTTAGTGGTGCGTGGAACCTCCTCTTAAGTGCTGTTGTCCCCAGGTCCACCCTGGCTTGGGGTAGTAGCACTTGTTACGTTCCCGGCTATTGTCAAATAATGATCCCCCAAACAATATGAATGTATAAAAGAACATTTTTAATGGAAAAATACTAGCAATACCTAATTATAGTAAAGTGACCAACAATACATATTTATAGTAAAATGACCAACAATACATTTTTATAGTAAAATACATTTCGTCTATAGTTAAAGGCATACAACTGCGTTCAAAATGTTTAGATTTCAGCATGAAATAACCCATAGATGTTGATATGCCGCTAAAGAAACTAAGCCAACATAACCCAATGCCAATTGGGAGGAGATTATCGGATTAACATCCTGTTATACTTCTAATTGTTCATTAATTAGCAGATACGTTACGTCCTGTAATAACTTGCCTGTTCCCTGTTGACCATGTTTGCCGCAGTCTCTGAATATGAAATCCTGTGAAGTCCGTAATCTGTTCAATATCAGAGGTCGGCAGTGAAGATTCAGAGAAAGAAGCGGTTGTTAAGTAATTCTTCAAGTTTTCGATATCAGGTTGGCAGTGCAGACAATTTGGGTGAGAAAAAAATGGCTGCCTTTATACACGTCGCATTGAATATTTTGAGCTTTCTGATTGGTTAACCCTTCTATTGGTGAACTATAAAATGAGTCAGCTCATTTAGGCTAGTTCACTAGTACTCACATACCAAAAAAAACTGCAACATCCCCTACCCGCATATTTCAGATAATGGGTTCTTATTTGATTGCGACGACAGAAGGAAAAAAAAAAGATATATCAAAAGCAATGAAAGAAAGAAATATAACACGCTAATATTTTAACGTCTGCTTCAGTGAAATCGAAAAATTTACCAATTTTGAAACATTTAATCTGTAGTCTTACTTCTTCAAATAATTTATGATTGCTGTTGTAAATATCCCCGGTGTTATGAATAGTAGGAATTATCCCTTGTTATCTGTTCAGGATTGGGTTTCCGGTTGCTTCTAAAGTATACTTACAGTTCTATACTTCTAACGTCTCCGCCTAAACTAAGGAATTATTTATTTTTATTATTTTTTCATTATCTGTCTTTATCTCTGAGATGAGGTATTATGATTACTTGCATTATTTACATTATTCGGACTGTTATCCTCATCTTCATTGCCATATTCACAACGTTTCGACCGTTGGATATAGACGTTGGTTACATCCAGTGACTTGACCCAAACATCGATTTATATCTCTCAGATGACGTATATATGATTCCTTTCATTATTTGCATTATTCGGACTGTTATCCACATTATCGTTGCCATATTCACAACGTTTTGGCCGTTGGATAAGATCCAGTGACTAGACACAAACATCTGTCTATATCTCTCAGATGAGGTATTATGATTACTTGAATTATTTACATTATTCGGACTGTTATCCTTATCTTCATTGCCATATTCACAACGTTTCAGCTGTTGGATAAAGACGTTGGTTAGATCCACTGACTAGACCGAAACATCTGTCTATATCTCTGAGATGAGATATTATGATTACTTTCATTATTTACATTATTCGGACTGTTATCCTCATCTTCATTGCCATATTCACAACGTTTTTGCCTCTATATCTCTGAGATGAGGTATTATGATTACTTGCATTATTTACATTATTTGGACAGTTATCATATTCATTATCACATTGACAACGTTTTGGACTTTGGATAAAGACGTTGGTTAGATCCATTGACTAGACCCAAACATCTGTCTATATCTCTGAGATGATTATGATTATTTGCCTTATTTACATTATTCGGACTGTTATCCTCCTCTTCATTGCCATATTCACAACGTTTTGGCCTCTATATCTCTGAGATGAGGTATTATGATTACTTGCATTTTTTTACATTTTTCGGACTGTTATCCTTATCTTCATTGTCATATTCACAACGTTTCGACCATTGTACTCTCCGGCCTTATTCCGCTCCGGCCTTATTCACGTGATTAGAATTTCGAACCGAACCCTTTATTTCGTCCACCGTGGTATTTAAGTTCTACGTGCCATGCCTCTTTGGGCTGTCTCAGTTGCTTTAACTCAACTCTCCAAGATTTTGTTCACCCTCACTATGGCCTAGTATTAAGCTCTTTGGGTCTAGTCACTAGATCTAACCAACGTCTTTATCCATTGTACCATGTGATCGTGAGGATATTCTTGTATGAATTTCTAGGACTTATACATGTAATGGTTCACCTTGTTTTGTTTTTGTTTTTTTTACCAGTACTCATATTGAATTTTTTCTGTTATTATTATTGCATTTTTACCAGAGCTTATATTGCAGTTTTTGTTGTTATTCTTGCTTTTCTCTGGTACTCCTTAGTATTTTTTTTATCAATAGGAGTAGATAGTGTTGCCTATCGTCCGGTTCACACCCCTCCCCGATCTTTTGAACATAAGTAGCGATTTATCTCTTATATCCTGTCTAGGATTCGGTTTCCGGTTCCTTCTAAAGCTTTTTCATTCTCTTTCACTCCCAGTAGCCTCTTGCATCTTAGTGGCAATATTGCTTTGCTTGGGGTGGAATGATTCAGAAAAAAATTGTTACAGCTATTAAGCGCAAATGTCTAACGATGGAATAAAGGTATTTTATAGTCGTGGGACTAGCAAGGCTTTTATTAAACCGTTAACTTCAGAATTCACCAGAAAATTTAAATAGGAAATGCGTGAAATTTTCACGATAATGTAATGGATAGTGGCTCAGATTGAGGAATGGGATAAGCCGATTTCGAATTCCGGTCGAATCCATTACATTCACTTACGTACTAATACCCTTGGGAAAGGTATGAATCCTTTCTTCCCCCTACCCAGCTATGGGTAAATAGCAGGACAGACCAGGTTCTATAGTCTTGAATGACAGAAAGAAATAGCAACCTAGTGCGGGGAAAAAATTTGCCTCGTCAGTCATGTATCGAAAGATACATGATCGCCTACGCGTGTATCGCGTATGGCACGTAATTTACTGATTAGTATATTAAAAAATATATGAAACGTGGTGCAATGGTTATTAAACGTTTCGTTAAATCAATTACAACTGAGTACTCCATACTGACGGCCTTGTGCCACATCTAAGCTACGCTTAGTAAATCGCTATAAAGTGATTGATGAATAGGAACACAAGACAAGTCGTTTGGCTCACTCATCTCATACCCCAGGATGGTTATTTGGGGTATGGACAGAGAGCGACCCACGCGATATTCTGTGGCCTTCGGCGGTCGGGCAAGAGCTTAGAGACGAGATGGACGCCGCCAAGCTATCCGGGAACCTACGGAAAGGACCAGGAGGAGGTATAATCAGGCAACTATATGCCGTATCGACAGATCAACCTGACAGAGGTTGTCTGTTTCTTCTACACACATCTACGACGATTGAAGATGTCGAGGATCTGATGATGATGATGATGATGGTCTCTCTCTCTCTCTCTCTCTCTCTCTCTCTCTCTCACACACACACACACACACACAAGGTTATTAGTCCATGGAGGAGTAGCTATTCTGACATTGTTTTTTGTATTCTTGATGCTTATTTGCCTGTTCTGTTTTAAGTCTCTTTACCCAGTCTTTTCAGAATTGTCAAATATTTCCTTCCCTCATCATTCATTGCCGACACCCACTCCTCCCTCATTCCACCCCTATCCAACTTGCATCCACTCACCTATACCCCCCACCCACCCTGTATATCAAAGAATCTACCCAGAACTTCTAGTTCGTTTGGTTTCGTTACATTCTTCCAAAATTCCGGTATTTAGATTTTTGAAATTCATTTCTTTCTTTTTACTTTATTTCGCCAACATTTCTCTCTTTCTTTTCAACCTTTCTCTGCTTCTTTTTAACCTTTCTCTCTTTCTTTCTTTGAAAGCTTTCTCTCTTTCTTTTTAACTTTTCTTTCTTTTTTGATCTTTCTTTCTTTTCAAACTTTCTCTCTTTCTTTTCAACCTTTCTTTCTTTCTTTTTAACGTTTCTCTCTTTCTTTGAAACCTATCTCTCTTTCTCTCAGCCTATCTCTCTTTCTTTTAACCTGTCTTTTAACATTTCTTTTACTATTTTTACGTTTTTCTTCATTTATTCCTCTTTCTTTCGTTCTTACTTTTAAATTTTCTTTCTTTTTCTTTCTCTCTCAACCTTTAGATTGCCAAATTTCTTTTTTTTTCTTTTTCGTTCCTTTTTCATTTACACTTCTCTCTTTTGTTTTTCTTTCTTTCTCTCAATCATTCCTCCTCCTTTCTCACAACATTTCTTCTGTTTTTCTTTCTTCCTTCATTTTCGTTTTCTTTTTCGTTTTTATTTTTTGTATCCATTTTATTAATTTACTTTCTATCTTTTTAAAATCATATTTATACTTTTATTTAAAAAAACCTTTAGTTTTTCAACCTTTTGTCGCCATTTTATTTCTTGATTTCTTTCCTTTCATGCCTTATGCGTTTTTCTTTCTTTCTTTCTTTCTTTATGCGTTTTTTCTTTCTTTTCTTTCTTTCTTTCTTTCTTTCTTTCTTTCTTTCTTTATGCGTTTTTCTTTCTTCCTTTCTTTCTTTATGCGTTTTTCTTTCTTTCTTTCTTTATACGTTTTTCTTTCTTTCTTTCTTTCATTCATGCATTATGCGTTTTTCTTTCTTTCTTTCTTTATGCGTTTTTCTTTTTTTCTTCCTTTCTTTCTTTCTTTATGCGTTTTTTCTTTCTTTCTTTCTTTCTTTATGCGTTTATCTTTCTTCCTTTCTTTCTTTATGCGTTTTTCTTTCTTTCTTTCTTTATACGTTTTTCTTTCTTTCTTTCTTTCTTTCTTTCTTTCTTTCATGCCTTATGCGTTTTTCTTGCTTTCTTTTTCTTTCTTTCTTATTTCTTTCTTTTTTTCTTTCTTTATGCGTTTTTCTGTCTTTTTTCTGTCTTTCTTTCTTTTTATGCCTTATGCATTTTTCTTTTTTGTTGTTTCTTTCTTTGTTTGTTTGTTTCTTTCTTTCTTTTCACCTTTGCCTGTATGTTATTTTCATTTCTTCTCACCACTCTTTTTTTTCTTGCTTGTTTGCTTTTTTTCTTCTCACCTTTGCACTTTTCTTTCTTTTCATTTCTTCTCACCTCACTTTTCTTTCTTTCTTTCTTTCTTTCTTTCTTTTCATGCCTTATGCGGTTTTCTTTCTTTCTTTTCTTTCATGCCTTATGCATTTAACACACACACAGACGTGCGTGTGTGTGTGTGTGTGTGTGTGTGCGCGCAAGTGCGTGTGCGTGTGTCTATACTATGTGTAACAGCAAAATTGTCCAAATCGTGTAACAGCAAAATTGTCTAATTGTCAGAGTAAGCTTTGAACCGTTGTATCTTAGAAATGATTAAAGATATCTTACTGGAATCCGCGTAGGTTTTTATAAAACTACAGGACTCTTCTTTGAGCAATAACAATGTATAATTACTCTCCAAATTTTTGTTTTTTCAGAAAGTTGATAATGTGTAGTTTTTCATGTAGGTATAAAGGTCATGGGTCATCGCCTGTTTTACAACTTCTTGTTCTATTTATTATTTTCCATTTTACTGTTGGTGTTTTATTCGTTTCTTTTAAATGCCAAAAATATGCATATACATACTAATATTATCTTAGTCTGGCACAACGGTACAAGAGTGATGCGTCTAGTAAGGCTCGAAACAACTAGTATTGTACTAATCAGTGAAACTAAGTGATACCCCACAGCGACGTAACCAAGGTCAGCTGGAGATTGTAAAAAAAACACAATATTATATATATATATATATATATATATATATATATATATATATATATATATATGTATGTATGTATGTATGTATATAAACAATAAAATCCCAAATCACCTCATATGGGGAATAGGCCTATTTCAACCGACGAAAATGGACTCCATACCGAGGTTGATAAGACAGAAGACATATTTTCATCGGGCAATATAAGCTTATTCCCCATATGAGGTGATTTTGGATTTTATTGTTTATTAAGGATTTGCTCTGTAATAATAAATAAATTGAGCTCTTTTTGTGGATGAGTTTTAATATTTTATATTAATAGGATCTACTTTGATTACATACCAACGGATTTTTTACCTTTACTATATATATATGGATAGATAGATAGATAGATATAAAAGTGAACATTGAAGTCAATCCTCAGAGGCGACAGGCTGTTTCATGCTAGACGCAATGCGTCTAGCACGAAACAGCTTGTTTCCACTTTTATATTTACATACCCTCTATCTCTGATACTGAGCACTTTATTCCATATATATAGCACATCTTAAAACTATATTTCTTCATATATATATGTGTGTGTGTATTTTCTAGAAATGATGGATTTTTATTTATTAATCCGGCAGATTTGTATCCTATCTATAACGTTATTTTTTTTATTGGATACATATATTTGAATAGACGCTCCGTTCATATATTAAACAGTATATTTATTTTCGTCTACCAGCCTGAATATCGAGAAATTTTTGTTGCAGAAATATATACGGCCTCCAGAACGATTTGAAACTGCGTCTCCCTGGACAGGGGTAACCGTCGTTAGATCTCGCGTGCTTTATATCAACTCATCCACGAAGTATGTTGCCGAACAGGCAAAGTTGAATACTGCCTTATGAACCAGATCAGAAGACTCTGCAGAATCTAATGATCCCATTGAAATATCGAAGTAATCACCAGAGTTCTTAACCCACTGTTTCTTTATTGTGTATGAAAACAGATCTTCTACTGTTCATTATTCACTGGAGATGTTAGAATATTCTTTGGCAAATTCCAAAGCCAGGGTAAAGAGATCCTTGGAGATGAAAAGATAAAAATCCACAAGATTAAACTAGATAAAAGAGCATCTACTTTTGTTACTAATGCCTCTAAACCAATAAATGAATTCTGTGGTACCAATCCAGGGTATAAGTCCAAGGCGTCATTTGATCTGTTTGTTGATCCGATCTAGGATAACTTGCTTATCCTTTCGATTTCCGGTCAGGTAGGCTTTATAATCCTCTTAGGATGTTTGGTCTGAAAGTCTGGATTATGATCTTTAAGTAAGACATAAGATTCTTTAGTACAACGCTATTGCTGGTTTTAAGTTTATGAGGAATATACTAAAAATATAGTTTTGAGGCATAAATTGCTCAATATCATATATAGAGCGTTGGTACATATAAATTACAAAACTGAACACTGAGATCAACACTTATCGGCGATAGTTTGTTTCACAGTTGAACGTAATCAGCACCTGATGATTGCGTTATGCATGAAAGTCAGCGTCATGCTGCCGGTGTGGAAAAATTATATTATTAATATATAAATTTTAGCTTTGTATTTCTATATCGAGCACTGTTTTATCAACAACAGAGCTCTATGTGCAATATTATATATTAAGTGCCAATGATTCTGCACAAAACCATTACCACTATAAACAAATCTCATGTGCTGCTGTCAGACTGTTAGTTCATAGGAACTGTTCTGTTTGATCCTGTGGTGTGTAACTCAACAATTCAACTGATGATAGCAGGTAGGCACAAAGAAAACCGGTGTCGCACGTCCAACCTTCTCACGAGCCGAAAGCCTTCTGATTTGAAACAGCAGAAACAAGCCTGCTTTATACAGCTGCGGACCGACCACGATTTGCATGCGAATCACGAGGCAATGAGATTTCGCGTTAACTGACCGAGACCGCTCGGCATAAAACGTGGGCGCCGCCATTTTGGTTTTCTTTTTTACCGATGGAAGGACCAGAGTTTACATACTGCGCAGATTCGAACGCGTTTCCGAGGTAGGCCATTTTCACAATTTTCCCCACACTCCCCCCTGATCTCATGATCACAAACAGGGCAGGGAGGTGGCGATCGTCGCCGTCGAGTCCCTCTCCGAAGGGGGATAACACAAGCTTCATCCTCGTGCGTGTTCTCGTCTGTGGTTTGAGTGTCGGTAAACACTGTGTCCGCCGGGAGGCTGCTGTTATCAGAATCGCTGCCCTGCAGGTCTAACTCAAGGCAGATTGAACGCTCACTACTCCCAGACTCGGAATCGCTTTCATCGCTCGGTACCGGTAGTGATTGCGTCACCGGTCGCAAGTATTTAATGTGACGAGGCACCCCATCAACTCTCACAGATTGCGGGCTGATAACCTCCGTAACACGTCCAGTGCCGTACTTTGTCGTACACTTGCCGCGTGGGTTTTTGACCCAAACGATGTCTCCTTTTTTCAATCTCCCTCCAGTCACTTCAGCGGGTTGGCTTCGATGCCTTTCACGCGGACATGATATTTGTGCAGTGCATCAGCCGGCGCCGTGGATGGTGAAATGTTATCCTTCGGGGCGACATTATACCAGTAAACCGCTTCCGATACTGTACAGCCCTTCCTGGCTGCGATGGTCTTGATGGTTCTGTGGTTCCGCTCCACGATGCCGTTTCCACTTGGCGAGTAGGCACATCGAAACCGCAGATGCACGTTCCAAGTGTCCGCAAATTCTTTAAAATCTTTACTGGTGAACGCAGTATCGTTATCCGTCAGTATTTCCATGGGTGGGCCTCGCTCCAGGAAAACATTCTCCAACAGTCGAATGACGGTGCTCGCGTCTTGTCTGCGCAGCGGCCGCCATACCGCAAACCTGGAGGGACCGCAATCAATGAGTGTTAAAAAATTCTCACCATTGTAGTGAGTTATGTCCATTGCCAGTCTGCTCCAGTTGCTCTTCACGCTCAGTTCTCCTCTTTCCCAGTGAACGGGTGCCGGATCGATCGACTGACAGGTTGTGCAGGCCTTCACAACAGATTTAACGCTTTCTCTGGACACCTGCGGGTCGACTAACCTGGCGAAGTACAGAGTTCGTTTCACGCCCGGATGTCCGCATTGACGATGCGTATTGGCAACCTGGTCCTCATCCAGTCGTCTCCTGCCACTGCACAGCTCTCGAGTGCCGGTTCTCCTCTCTTGAGCAGTTCTAGCCACCTGTGCGGTACTCTGGTGAGGCGATCTGCACGGTTCTGACAGGACTGCACGAGTGTCACGTCTACGGTCAATCCATATTCGTCCACCAACGATCGCAAAATGCCCAGCCGTCGCCTGACCAGCATCTCACCAGACGCCCTTGTGTTCACCCGTGCCTTCCTGGTCAAGGTGTCTGAAATCCACCGGTGCACACACGCCGAATCAGTGACCAAGTGCAACGTTGTCGCCTCCCACTGGAGAGCCAGATTCACTCCTTTAAGCGCCGCATCGAGTTCAGCCAAATTAATGTGCCTGGCATCATTAGTCGGACGCAGCCAGCACGCATCTTCGATGACATTTCCGTTTACTTCCAATGCCACTCCTGTCGCCACGGAACTCGCATCCACCCAGACTGTGATCTCGTCACCACTCATGCACCAGTCTCCTCCGACGGGATCCAGTTCCCGCACTCTACTTAACATCTCTGCTAGTATGCGACAGAGAGGGGATCTTTGATGTTATCATCCCATCCATTGGTTGCTGCGGTTGCCAGGCGCTTGACGAATGCAACTGCCACCCTGAGCCATCCACACACTGGGAAGTGTCCAACAAGTTTCCCACACAACGAAAATACGCGCCGCCGGGTCAACACATCAGGGGCTTCCGGAATTTGACTTCCTCGTTTCCATCGGAGGGTGCCATTTTCTTCCCAGTTGGCAGTCGTGCAGGAGCAGAAACAGAAGGTGCGTCCGGTATTCGATCTAAAGTTGATCCCAGAATTCGACGGCTCCCCCACGGGCCCGACTATCGTCGAATGGTTTGAAAAGGCCGAACCTGTTTGCAGGGTGTCCAAAATAAAGGAACCTGCACTAGTCATCCCACTGAGACTCACGGGAGGAGCCTACGCAGTATATCAACAACTCGGGGACGATGCTGACCTAGAAGAGATCAAGGACGCCCTGTATACGGCCTTTGGAATAGATCCATTCATCGCTTGGAAACAGTTCGTCGGACCACGGCTCGAGCCGGGTGAGACCGTGGATGTTTACCTGGCTGATTTGCGAAGGCTGGCAGTACCGTTTGCCGGAGCAACGGATCGCATACTGGGGTGCGCCTTCCTGGCAGGGCTTCCCGACGACACCAGTCGGCTCCTGCGAGCGTCTTCAAGATTGGACACACTGGGAATTGACGAATTGCTAGCCAGGGCCCGAAACATCTTGAAGGACACGGAACAGATCGCGGCAGCCGTGAGAACGCCTGAGACACCGAGGGAGGGCCCAAAGTACTACAAGTGCGGTGGACCCAACCATTTCTCTAGGGACTGCCGGAGCCGAAATTCGTATATATATATATTTAATTATTATAATCTTTTTATATAGACAAAACAATTTACTCACTACAAAGATGCAACTTCGTTTCAGTGCATTTAAAATTTCACTTCGACTGGTGAGAAGTAAAATGTTTATGAACAGTTCTGTTTGTAAGCAAGCCGCATGTGAAACGTCACTTCGTTTTTTTCCATTTGTTTGAAAAAAAATAGAAAATAAAAAATATATAAAGGCAAAAAGGTGGCGGAGTGAAACAATAGTGGTTGTTGATAGCAGTTTGGTGAATGATGGTTGAGGTGTTATGGCTAGATCTGAAAATTGTTCAACGGTCAAGGGCTTACGCACAGAATTTTCAAGCCTTTTAAGAGTGACGGGTAGGTGAGGAAAGGTGAGAATACGAGATATTAATATGATGAAAGAGGAATGAGGGAAAAATTCAAACGATAGTTATAGTAGTAATTGGGGATGTTTTTTTGGTGGGGTTATTTGAAAAAAATAAGCCAGAGCTGAATTGCATATATTTAGGTTGGTGTTATGACTTCTAGTTTTGTAATCAATGAAAGTGTTTTGTAAATTAATAAATTAAAAGGTGAAGATTTCTTTTTGGTATGTTGAATACATAAGTTATTCGTTTTTTTTTTAAACATAATTTTTAATTTAGAAAATAAGATATAAATAGAAAGGTATTTAAAAGTATGGGAAATTAATATAACTTTTGTAATCTATCTTTGACCTATTGTCGGACTGTATAACATGTAGAATAAGTATGAGTGTAAAACAATTTATCTTAGCGTATTACTAGTATTATAAATGCGCAAAAGCATTTTAAGTATCATAATCTAAGATAAATTAGCAGAAATGTATATAAGAGGATAGAAAGTATATCAAAGGAGGTGAGTTATAGTTTTAAACGCTAAGAGTTATGGATTTAAACGTTTAGCAAGATTTTAATGTTAGATCTTTAATATGCCTACAAAAACAATGGTTTCATATCTTTGATTTAATAATGGGTTGTTGTTCAATAATACATATTTTTCCTGCAAACATAAAAAAACAAGATTAGTTCAAAGATTTGCAATGCTGTCAACGTTAGAATTTATATATTATCTTAGTTCTCATTACATTCGTTTATATATATATATATATATATATATATATATATATATATATATTATTTATTTAAAAAAATTCATAACATAAATATGTTATAAAATCACTGCATATATATATATATATATATATATGTGTGTGTGTGTGTGTGTGTGTGTGTGTGTGTGTGTGTGTGTGTGTGTAGGAGGATGGTGGATTAATAGCGACCTGGATTGAGGAATCGGAGAGCCGAGTTCGAATTCCAGTCGAATCCATTACATTCACTTACGGGCTAATACCCTTGGGAAAGGTGTGAATCCTCTTCTTCTCCTTCCAGCTATGGGTAAATAGCAGGACAGACTGGGTTCTATAGCCTTGGATGGCAACTAGTCTAGGGGAAGGACAATTATAAACCTGCGGAGGGTTGTTTGGGGACCTTGTGGTACGTAGTGCACCAGGTCTCTGTATTCGGCCCTTCAAAAAGTGTGGAGGGTCTTGCACGAAACCTTCACCACTATAATCAAATTTCATGTGCTGGTGTCGGGCTGTCGGTTTCCTGCGAACTGATCTGCTTGACCCTCATACGTCGAATTCGATGGGACAGTCAGTATATATATATATATATATATATATATATATATATATATATATATATATATATATATTCGTTAGCATGGATAACTCTGGCTTTGACGCATTTTCTCAAAAGTGGATCTATTTATGCTTTGTGTTTGATTATTTGTGTATAAGATAGATTTCTACTATGATTCTCTGGGATGACACTCACATATACGTAGACGCACATTCATACAGGCGTATGCATGTTAATTCGTAGATACACACCCATTTTGCGTCTAAACCAAGATTATGAATATGCTTGCCTTATGCGCTGAGTCATTGAGGATAAACTCTATCCGGCAGCAATGCCACTGATCGGGATGTTCTGAGGAGCGTGGAACCACTTCTTAATTGTAGTGGTTCCCAGGTACACCGGGGTGGTAGTAACAGTTAGGGTCCCAACTATGGGCAAATAGTTACCCCCCCCACAAAAAATCAAAACGTTATGAAAGTATAAAATTAAATTTTTATACTGAAATATACCAGTAATACATTTGGACAGTAAATGAATTACCAGCAATACATTCTTAAAAAAGAAAATAACCTGAGAAGATTGTCCTGTACCAACTGCCAAGTAGAAAAGGAGGTATTACGTCATCATTCTTCTCTTTGTTTTCTAAATGTATTTTCCTATCTCTTTATGTCATACACAAATCCTGGGTATGACGATAAACTACATCCGGCAGCAAGGCCGTTCAATGGGAGATTGGGAGGTTTTGAGGAGCGTGGAACCACCTCTTAATTGCAGCTGTTCGCAATTCCGCCCTCAGCCGCGTTGATAGCACATGTTAGGGTCTCAGCTATAGGCAAATAACGACACCCCCACCAAACAAAAACACTATGAAATTATAAAAGTATCTTTTAATAGTCAAAAAATACCAGCAATATATTTTTATATAAAAAGACAGGCAACGTATAATCAGTAATAAAATGTATCTGTAATTAATGGGATACAATTGCGTTTAAAATATTTAGTTGAAGCCATAGAATTGTCTTAAAAATATTTCGATTTCGGCACAAAATAACCCATAGAGGTGTTGATATGCCGCTAGGTAGTACCAAGAGAACAACCAATATAAAATTTCATTACAATAATCCATATAGCCTGAAATTTCTTAAATCAAACCGTATTCCAAAGTATAACCTTAAAAAATATATAAAACATATATAAAGTTTGTTCCAATAACTTAGACCGATTTTAAATGTGAATTAAGTTTAAGCGTGTAATGTTGTTTTTTCTTTTTCTTTTTCCTTCAGATTTAACAACTTAAGCCTTTGGCAATTTCAGTCATGGAAAGATTAACAATCAAACAACGTGTTAAAATTATCGAAGCCTATTACGAAAATGAACGTTCAAACAGAATTTGAATGAGAAGTTCCCAGGTCGCATCATCTCTCAAAACAGGCGATGTCAATTGGCCACCATGATCATGCAACTTGACGCCTTTAGATTTCTTCCTTTGGGATCATCATAAAACTAAGGTCTATGCTAACAAGCCAACAACAATTCAACAGTTGAAGGATGAAATAATAAGGTATATTGGTGAGATCGAGGAGCAACTATGCAGAGACGTCATCAAAAATTTTGACCATCGAGTGGAGGCGTGCTGCCGAAGCCTTGGTGGACATTTGGGCGATATTATTTTTCATACATGATTGCTATGACTTAAATAATATGATCCAATAGAGAAATAAATAAATTTTCACCAGTAACACTGATTTATTTACTGCTGAATTTGATCCGTCTTAATGAAACACCTTTTCTTACCTCCTCTAGTAATTATGTCCACACACTTGTACATATACAAAAGCTGAGTATCATGTACCATGTATTCAATTGTGAAAGTAGAATAATATATCATATTTTTATTATTTCAAACATCCCAAAAAAATAAACTTTCGTCATTAAATGACCCATAAGTAGTCGATATGCTGCTAAATAAACAACATTGGCAAACGATTCCAGTTATGAAGCAATGATTTCTTGCTGTAAATTTTCAATATCTTAAAACAAAGGTGCATAAAGTAATATTTTCGTAAAAGATGTTTTTATTGCATAGGCTGAACACACCTTCCCATCTTGTAATACTGCTGCAACACAATCTTCTTCGGCGTTGCTTGAACAAGTATCCATCTAAGCTAAGCTTATATGTGGCGATTAGATTACCAAAGGTGTACATACGTCGCAGATAAATATTACGAGATTTTTACCGCAGTGAAATTTGATACAAGGAAAGGTTTAAACAAGATAAGAGTTTTTTTCTCGGAAAACCTTTACAGAAAAAATAAATAACATTGGTACATGTCTATCTATCTATCTATCTATCTATCTATCTTTTCATTTCTGTCTGTCTATATCTTTCTTTCACATTCGGTTTCTATCTATCTATCTATCTATCTATCTATCTATCTATCACAGCCTGTTGATCTATCTATCTATCTATTTATCTATCTATCACAGCCTGTTGATCTATCAAAACTATACTTTCTTTCTTTCTATCTATCTATCTATCTATCTATCTATCTATCTATCTATCTATCTCATTCTCTTCCGGTTTCTCTCTATGTATTTCTTTCCTTTTCTATCTATCAATATCTTTCACATTCGATTTTTATTTATCTATCTGGCTATCTTTCACGGACTGTTGATCTCTCTCTCTCTCTCTCTCTCTCTCTCTCTCTCTATCTATTCTATTTTTTCTTTTTCTATCTATCTATTTCTTTGTTTTGCATTCGGTTTCTATCTATCTATCTATCTATCTATCTATCTATCTATCTATCTATCTATTCGGGATGTGCGCCTACCGTAGCAGTTAACGGCACAGAAAGTGGGATTGGCGTGCCGAGTTCAAATTACAACCATGGCCTTTGCGTCTGTTTTCGTTCCTTGGAAATGTAGAAATCCATCACATCCCCAACACCGTCAGTAGCGGGAAAAAACTATACTTTCTAGCTTTAGAATTGGATCAAATCTGTATTTAAAACAGTTTGGTCGTGTAGCAACTGTGTCCTAAAATAACCTACGGACATTACTATCGCTTGGTATGTTTGCGGACCAACAGTGTTAAAATATAGAACATATATATGTATATACACTCTGTTAGATTTAAAAATGCAAGTCAGTGTTTTAATGACAAAATCTATATAAACTAATCTATGTTAAAAATTACAGTCTGCACTTCTTACCTATCACAAGTCAAGGCAGTTACAGATAGGATTCGCGATACTACGTCCTTCTTTCTTCTTTATTTATGTGTCAGGTCCTTTCGGGGCGTAGACGATCATGGCTCTCCACCTCCCTCTATCCCTTGCAGCTCTCAACAAGTTCCTTCCCTCTGCTATCTCCCCCAGACCATGTTCTGTCATCCACTTGCTTAAGTCTGCCAGATATGTCACGTGTTGTTTTCCCTTGTCTCTCTTTCCCTCTATTCGACCTGTGAGTATCAGATTCTCCAGGCCCTCCTTTCTCATTATGTGTCCCAGAAACTTCAGCTGTCCCTTCCTGATATTAACTATACGCCTCCTACTTGTTTGTAACCTCTCTAAGACCCTATCTTTGCTCACACGCTCGGTTCATATCCTTACCATCCTTCTGTAGAATCACATTTCTATCACCTCGAGTCTCTTCTTCATCTTTGAGGAAATCGTCCAACATTCGCTGCTGTAAAGTAAAAGCTCTCTTTTTTTTCCCCGAGAACTTCTACTTTGTGAAATATATTCAGGTTTGCTGCTCCCCTGAGCACCTTAATTTAAGATAAAGGTCAATTGCTATCGATTCTCCTTATCTTCCAAAAACCTGATTTTCTTCTATCTCCAATTATCACACACTTCATTCAATAACTCATTACCATGAGCAGATCTTGAACCTTATATTGGGTGAATGCCGACTGTGTTTGTTAACTTATCGGTTAATTTGCAATGTAACACCCGCACTCAGTCCGCATTAAAAATTTCCAAAATACTTACATTTATATGTAACTAGCAGTAGAGCCCGGCGTTGCCCGGGGATATAACAGTAAGTGATAGCTCAAGTATCGACCATCATAAAGACTGAAAATTAAAATTGACAAAGATTATTTTTTAAGCTTGACGGACACGCATGTCTTAATTAGTTTTATTTATTTTTTTTTTTTTTACGAAATGGTCAAACCCAAACTCAAACAAAAACATTGTTTACAATCGTTATGAGTCTACCGATTGAATAGAATTTTATTATAAACAATTGTCTTGTAAATGGAATTTTTAAACCATTCTGAGTGTAAAAATAAAGAAAAAAGTGTGCAAGACAATAAGAAACACTACCTGCCAAAAAAAGTGAAGTTTTGTTGAAATCGGTTGAAAAATGTAGGAAATCCGATCCCATATATAAACGAACACACACACACACACACACACACACACACACACACACACACAAACAACCAACCTGGGTTTTATAATAAGTATAACTCGATAACTCGATATTAATAAGTATAATTCGATATGAGTTTTCCCCCTTTCATTAATGCCTCTTAATCGTGTTTTCAAATTGATTTCGTGCAAAAACAATTGTGTTTTCCCATTTTTGGCGCTGTCAGAACCACCGCAAGGTAATTTTACGTAGTTCTGTGAAGTTTTGTTGAAATCGGTTGATAAATGTAGGAAATCCGATCCAATATATAAACGTACACACACACACACACACACACACACACACAATCTGCGTTTTATAATAAGTAAGATTATACATGCTCCATTCGAATCTGGCTTGATAAATTTGATAAAATCTACCGTTTTGAAATTATCGACAGTGAAATTTGGGATTCAATCGCGTCGTTGGCGGCCGCCATTACTCGCGTTGTTTGCATACATTCGCTGCAGAAAGCTAAACGCGGAAGACTACGGAAAGCTAAGCTCAGAACTAATCTTTCTTGTCTAAATTTGTCTCAGTTACTGCGCACGAGAACTATTTACGTACACACGCTCAGTTTGCGCAATGATACATACACTGACAGCTATTCTGCAGTGAATGTATATAAACAACGCCAGTAATGGCTGCCCGCGAAGCGAATGAATCCGAAATTTCACTGTCGATAAATCCAAAACGGTAGATTTTATCAAATTTATCAAGCCAGATTCGAATGGAGCATGTATAATTACATATAAATGTAAGTTTTTTTTTTTTTTTTTAAATGCGAAATAAGTGAGCGTGTTACACGGCAAATTAACCAAGTTATCAAGTGTTTCGAATCTGACGTCACCTGCATCATTTTTCAAAGCTGTACGGCGATTTTTACTTGAATAATGTTTACAATTCTAATCAGTGCCGCTTTAAAGTACAACTAAATTAAAAATCAAAACTGAGGAACTCTCTTTGAGTAAAGGAAAACATGGCTGCTAGGACCAGTGTTAGTAATTTGTAATATAAATATACATATATCGATATATTATTAAGATACAATAATAATTTGAGGTACGTATGTAGCGACATACGAGGTTTTTCGAGATACGACCCGGAGTTCGGCATTTTTTTTGTGTTTTTTTTCTTCTTCCTTGGAGGTCCAAGCTGAATTTTGAGATAGGAGCGACTTTTACTTAAGCATCCGCTAGTTGACACAGCAAGTGCCAAACATCGAGATTATTTGCTCCCGCAGTACACGTATTCACCTTGCTCTGGAAGGATTTCTGTGGTGTTGTGTCTTTTTTGCTGTTATTTGGCAAAATTCCTTTAGTGACACATATAGGTCCAAAGGGAAGTAAGGGTAAAGAGCAGTGGTAAAAAGCCGAAACGTATGACTTCGTTTGAGAAAAAGCGGGAAATTATTAAAAAAAAATATGAGGAAGACGTATGAGTAATGGATTTGGCGAGACAGTATGGCCGTTCTACATCAACGATAAATAAAAAATTATAAAATTTTAATTTTTAAAAAAATTTAGAGGAAAGGATAACATTTAAAAAAAATTTAAATGATAAAGTTAATTTTCTGTATCCCAGACTAGTCTAGTCGTTGCTAGGCTAGAGTAACGGTTGCTAAGCTAGCTGCGATTGTCCCTCTCTCCCTCTTCCGACATTTGGTCTATGACTCGTCTGAACTTCGTGGTTTAGTACAGTTTATTTCTTTACAATCTGTTTTTCTCTTTTATTTTATTGTTTGGAAATTACATTTCTTGTTTATTCCCACTTTTTGCTTGTAAGAAACTTACAAATACAAAAATATGGGTAACTTTCAGGAAAATAAGGCTGATGCTTATGGTCTTGGAATGGATGGAAATATTCCCATTAATTTCAGTGGGGAAAATTGATTAGAGATGCGAATCTTGACAATGTTGTGTGGCTTAGTCTAGAATTGACAATGTTGAGTGGCTTAGTCAAGAAATATTTGATAATTTTTTTATTTGATATTATTCATTTATCGTGTGATCTGTAGCATCTTCAATACTTATAAAAAATTATTAATAACTTATTAGAGCAGTATCGTGTTCAGTTATGCAATTTCTTATATAAAATTTATCTATATATAAAAAAACAGAGAATGTGTGTGTGTCTGTCTGTTTGTCTGTCTGTGTGATACCTTTCACTTGAGATCCACCAAAACCCATTTTGATCAAAATTTGGCTCATACAATTTACAATGTAAGAGATAGGTCCTTAGTCGTAATTTTTAAAAAAAATCAATAATCGATAAAGCCGATCAAAAATCGATAAAATCAACTTTTTTCTTCCGATTTCGTTCAAACTCAGTAAGTAGGTCACTTACATCATGATGAGCACAACGATACCTCATTTTATATCTACGCCACTGCGTTTAGCGAAAAACCGCGAAAAACGAAAAAATCGATCTCAACACAAATTTTAAACGAAAAACTCAATTTTCAAGCAATATAATACGAAACTCACTCAGTTGTAGCCAACAGTATGTTGATTTAACAGTCATTTAACTTGATAATTGAGTCCACTCATATCGTGAAAACCCGCGTAAATATCGAAAAATGGCGATTTTTACTGGTTTCTTTCTTATTTTTCGTTGATCTTTCAACCAATTTTCATCAAAATTAACAATTGCTTTATAAATGTATCCTCTTTTACATCCCCGGTAGCATACTGAGAAACTGAATTTCAAAAACTCCAAAATAATTGTGGCCTAAAATAGGTCTTTATGTTGCCTGTTTTGCTCCTTCATGTCGTCGGCTAACTTCGATTGAATAAATACATACTCTCTTTTCTTTCTAACATGATGTAGAAGTAATTGCAACCGGAACTTGTTCCTAATTGTTATGGGGACCTACCTTCATGGACAAAATAGACTCGTCTATGATTATATTATGCCTCGCAAGTGGACTGGAGACGAGCGGACGAGTTGACTACGGTTGACTGCGTGTACGACTTCTGTCGAACTCTTTGCTTTGGTAGAGAGGAACCCGAATGAAACTTTGCTGAAGTCCGACAATTATTTTAAGACATTTTCATGTTTATACATTGTTTTTATAGATAAAAAGACATAAAAGCATTTACTTAAATATATGTATCTATAAAAAGAATGTATAAACATAAAAACATCTCAATATATATATATATATATATTATAAATTAATAGATCTAAAATATGGTGTTTTTCGCTACACAGTTATAACCATGTTTCAAAAATGGAAGCTAAAAGCCACGAATTTAATTTTTGTGATTAAATCAAAGACATTAGTTCCATTTCATCCACAAGCGAATTTTGGAGTAACTTTTTAAACTTACTGGGTTTTAAATACACAGCTAAAACAAAATTTATGTTTCCAAGGTTACAGATAAATCTATTTTTCTAGACAGGGGTGGCTTGGTTTTCAATATGTCTATAATTTAATGTATCAGTTATTGCTACGTTTGGGTCGTGGGTAGGGATGTATTTTTCAATGAAATCGAACTTCCGTTTAAGCCTGTCGTCTAGATTTTTTAAAATTATATTGTTAACGGCTAAAATTCTTACGGCCTTTTTTTTTTTTTTCGTATATTTAAAGTATATTATGATTTTTAAATATTTCTAAAGTAAAATTTTTCATTACTCCGATATAGTAAACTTTATTCATTTATTTAATTACAAATTAAAAGAAGTTTAGGTTAGAATTCATTTTAATTAACTACAGTTAATGCTCTGTAAGTTTACATTGAGCATTATTTTCTAAAAATAAAAATATCTATAAGAACACCGGATTATATATCTTGCTGTTCTTTCTTTATATATATATATATATATATATATATATATAT